ACTACGTAGTGAGACCCTGTCTCAAAAAAAAAAAAAAAAAGAAAAAAAAGAAAAGATACTATTTTCACAAGTGAGATATGACTATTTTTATATTAGGATTTGGTGATCTCCAAAAAAAAGATTTAGAGAGGGCCAGGGATTTAGCTCAGTGGTTCCACCATCTGCCTTACAAGTGCAAGGTCCCGAGTTTGATCCCTAGTACCAAAAAAAGAAAAGAAAAAGAAAAGAAAAGAAAAATGTTTATGTCATCCTACAATAAAAAAATAAAATATAAGGGGCTGAGGCTTTAGCTCAGCGGTTCGGTGGCCTGCCTTGCAAGCCAAGGACCTGAGTTCAATCCCCAGTTCCAAAATATATATATAAAATATATAAATATAAAAAAAGAAAAGAAAAAAGAAAAAGATAAATGTTTATATCATCCTATAATAGTTTTCAAAAGGGATTAATCTAAAAACTGATTCTGCCATTTAGGAAAAAATGTGATCACACTCTCTTCAAATCACTTATAGAAAAATCATATCAAAAAGACCCAACAGAAATTATATTGCCCTTAAGAGTCAGATAAGAGAGAGATAATTAGCAGAGACATGCAAAGTCTCATCAAATTTAGGGGATGTCTTAAGATTTTAAAAATAATGGTATGATTTAAACATACTGGCCAAGGAAACAGTTCTTTCTATAGCTTTATGGTACAAAAAGGACCAGAATCTGAATCCAAAAAAATCAGTTTTATAAATTACAAACTCAACTGAGAATAGAGTAAACCATTTCCTTAGTGGTTATCTTTTTTTTTGGTACCGGGAATTGAACCTGGGTCCTTAACGCTCGCAAGGCAGGTGGTAGAACCACTGAGCTAAAATCCCTGGCCCTTAGTTGTTATCTTTTATCCTAGAAAGATTAACAAGGTATTACCATTTATCAGAAAAGCCCAGAGAATTAGTATTTTTGTGTTAAATTTAGGAATGGGTTTTGCTATTTATTGGAACAATTTATGTATTTTTAGAATATCAGAGTAAGTTTGGATTTTAATTGTAATCAAGTTAACTAGTTGCCAAATTTATAGTTGGGCATGGTAGTGCACGCCTGTAATCCCAGCACTCAGGAGGCTGAAGCAGGAAGAATGCCCCCAGTTTGAGGCCATCTTGGGATATACAGTGAATTCAAGGCTTGCCTGGACTACACAGTCAGACCCTGTCTAAAAAAAAAAAGCAAAAACCAAACTTCTGATTTCTTTTTTTCCTTTGTTTTCTTTTTTGAGATGGTGTTTTCCTATGTTGTAAAGACTGGTCTCAACAATCTTTCTACCTTATTTCCCAAAGTGCTGAGGTGACAGGCATTCACTGCAACACCAAGCTGGATGCATCAATTACTTAAGGCAAAATTTTACTGATTTTTTCTGGGCATGGTAGTGTGTAGTTCCAGCTATGTGGAGCCTGAGATGGAAGCATGACTTAAGCCCATGAGTTTAAGACCAGTGCAAGACCTCTCAAAAAAGAAAAAGAAAAGGGCCAGGGATTTAGTTCAGTGGTTCTGCAGCCTGCCTCGCTGGCATCTTCTTAATTTTCTTAGTAAATCATCCACTTAATCTACATTTGCAATTATTTATTATTCAATTATGCTGAAATTCTTTCTTTCTTTCTTTTTTTTTTGGTATGTAGTTCCGGCTGGCCTTAAACTCGTGATGATTGATCCTCCTGTGGTAACCTCCCAAGAGGTGGTATTACAAGTGTGCACCACCACACCTAACCTTTAATTTTTAATGCGAGCAAATAGAGTGACATTCTATATATCAAATTTAAAAAAAATTACCTGAACGAGAGCATAGAAGATCTTGAATATTTGTTTCTGGATGAGAACAGACTGATCAGATTGATCCGAAAGAAGCTGGATAAAACGATCCTTTAGAACTGGCAGAAAATGTTGCATTGCTGCTACCAAAGGACTCCGCTCCTCTGGTTTCTTATACCTATGGGCAGGAATATAAACTAATTCTGTAAGAATTTATTTCCACATTTATATATACACGAAAACTACCATGGGCTGGGGACTTAGCTCAGTGGTGTTGAGCCTGCCTGGCAAGCGCAAGATCTTGAGTTTGATCCCCAGTACTGAAAAAATATATAAATAAATAAAAATAAAAACCACCTGTCCACACAAATATAAGTACTTTCAAATCAACTCAGGAAAAAACAAAAACTACTCTGGAGTAAATCCACAAACAAAGCAACTTGAATAAAACCTCTAATTACAGAATACCTAATATTTATTGAACATTTATTATGATGTCAATAAATGTTCAAGGTTCTTACTAGTATTTTTACTTTTATAGTTAAGCTGTCACTGAAATTCTTTTCCCAGTGATATACATGTAGGTATGAACCCTACATAGTTGGAATCCAGTTCTGACCTCCTGGGTGTGTGTGTGTGTGTGTACCAGGTATCAAACTCAGGTCCTTGCGCTTGCAAGGCAGGCGGCGGAATCACTGAGTTAAATCCCTGGCCCCTTCTTTTGTGTTTTTGACTCAAGGTCTCACTATGCAGTTTAGGCAGGCCTTCAATTTACCATAGTAAGGCTGGCCTCCTGGGATTACAGGTAGTATGTCACTATGCCCCGCTAAACTAATCTTTAATTGTGACTACTGACACAAATACAGAGCTACAATAGTCTGGCTTAAAAGCAGTGGCAGGGCTGGGGATTTAGCTCAGTGGTTCCGCCGCCTGCCTTGCAAGCACAAGGACACGAGTTCAACCCCCGGGACCCAAAAAAAAAGCAGTGGCAGCTGTTGAATAAATAAAATCAATTTCACATTACCATCTTTAAGCAATTTACCTACCAAAAGCAGTAAAGCAGAAATGGTATTTATAAAAGAAAATATTTTATGTCTAAAAGCATAAGCTACATGTGGTGGTACATGCCTGTAATCCCAGCACTCAGGAGGCCAAGGCAGGACTGCCATTCAAGGCCAACCTGGGCTACACAGTGAGTTTGAGGCCAGCCTGAACTACATAGAGAGAACCTGTATTAAAAATAAATACATCATCATCACAGGTGCGGGTCTAAGGGAAGCCCTAATAACCAACCAACCAATAAATAAATAAACAAATAAATAAACAAAAGTAAAATACAAATAAATATAAACATTAGCATTATAATCCAGAGATTCTAATATAATCCACCTGGCAACAAAACACAATCTTAACGGCTATTTACAATCTTCATTTACTCTATTTGGGATCAATAGTCACATTTCATTAGTATTTATAATGTGTTGAACAACTGGATGCTAAGAAATTCAACAGAAATGTTACCAACATCTATTATATAAACCTTATTACTTTTCTAAAATCCAAAAAAATTCTGAATTCCATTTCATTAAAAGCATGATAAAGAATTGCTGACCTGGGGCATTTCTACATATGTATTATCATTTTAACAGTGTTAGTGAAAAGTCTGTTGGTTTAAAAAAAATCAAATTTATAATATAAGTTATAAATATTGAAACTAAATTCCAGCTTCCATTATTAAGGAGTCAGCAGGCAGACTAGTTTTGCAAATATGGATCACTTGTTATAGAAATCAAAGTTATAACTGTCACAACTTTTTTGAAACAGATGTTCATTCTAAGCTGCTTGAAACTGGCTTTCAAGACAGACCTCAGTTTTGCTTATTGGTATCTTAATCTAAGAGAAAATATATTTAAGGATTGAACATCTAAGTAAATCTTTAAAAGTAGAATTCTTGTGCTTGCTTCGGCAGCACATATACTAAAAGTAAAATTCTTTTCTCCTACTGGGGTGAGTTGAGAACCAACATGAATTATCAAGAAAAAAAAAATACCAAGAAAGATAAGGCAGAAGTATCACAAATTCAAACCCTACCTCAGTAACTCAGTGAAACCCTCTCTCTACAAAATAAATAGGGCTTGGAATATAGCTCAGTGCAAAAGCCCTGGGTTCAATCCCCAAGGACTGTGACTGTGAACAAACACACACACACATACACACACACAGATATGAAAGGGAGGCAGAGACAAACATTCAGAGGTACGGAAAGTGGCTCAGTGAGGGAGCATGTCTCAAAATATACAAAACCACAGGTTTGATCCCTAGCACCAAAAAGAACTGAGGAATGTTCACAATAAGAATGACTGGTAAAGGCCTGGGGATTTAGCTCAGTGGTTCTGCCACCTGTTTCACAAGTGCAAGGACCCGAGTTCGATCCCCAGTACCAAAAATAAAAAAAGAATGAATGGTAAGTAAGACTATCAACACGATTAACTGACAAATCATTTTAATATGCTAACAAATTGTACCTAACCCACATTTTAAAAGGATTATCTATATACCTTTCTTTAAGCCAATAAAACAGAAGCAATTTATAAAAAACAAGCCATTTGCAACCTCCAATACGACTATGCAAATTTTAATATCAAAATAAGAATTATATTGTGTAGCTCTTTCCATTTCTCCACCCAAGGTGATCACAAGAGGGCTTCTTTTTCTTTTTTGGTACCAGGTATTGAACTCCAGACCTTGTACATTCAAGGCAGGCAGCAGAACCACTGAGTTAAATCCCCAGCCCACGAGGTTTCAATACTCATTCTTTGTTAGAATTTCTTCTCTCTCCCCCAATACATTCAATACTAGGTGGGAAATTAATAGTATTAGTTAATCTAATGTATAAATAATTCACAGAACCAAACATATTACTATCCCAAAGGCCTGAAAATTCCTCAAAGTATAAAAATGTGACACTACTAAATGTTTACTCTACAGACTGCAATGTACCAAACTGGTTAACAATACTCAGAAGAAATTCTTAAGTACTGCTTCACAATTATTTTTTTCAAACAAAATACCCACAAACTCCAGTAGCTTCCAACACCTAAAAGATCACACACAAATTTCTGACTGTTATTCAAAAGCTTCTTTATAATGGTCCCAATTTAGCTAGTCTAAACTATTATTCACAACCTCTCGTCAGAAAACATGCACACCACTATCTGATCTCATTATCCATTTAAGATGTCAGCTTGTTTCCACCTGTTCTTTGTTTATACTGCTCAGTATCGTATGATGAAACACTCCCCTCTTCAAGTAGTTTTTCTATGACCCTTCAACAGATAAGCATTTCTCTCAGTCTAGTCTCTGAAGGCCACCAATTTCCAATTTCTTCATTAATTTGCTTAGAACTGCTTCAGTCCACACAGATCCCTTGTGAATACCTTCAGCTACATAATCAAATGCTGTCCAAAAACTGGAATTCCAGTATTGTAGTAATCTCCTGTATCTCCCACTTAGAAATTCCTATCATGATGTCTGTGTAATTATAGAACAGGACAGACTTGAACCTCCTCGGTGACACTGTGAGCTTAGTATTATTCTCTGATTTTAGTCACTAGCCAAAACTACAACAACTGGCACTCTGACAGAGGTTGGAGCAAAGCCGGAAGATTCCTTAGCAGGAAGATGGGTAGCTGGTGGGAACATAAGAAAACACCAGTACCAGTGCTGTAAATGATATATTTCTGTCCTGCTAAGAACAGCAGCAGTAGTTCATCAGCTACTTTGAAATGGGACCCAAAAAGGATATCAGAGGTTAACTACAAGTCCCAGAATTAGAAGGCTGACAATGGCATCTGTGTAGTTGTTAGAACCGGAAATAAAGTCACCACCACAGTACAAAGTCTTCTTCAGGGAAGAAGATTATAAGTGAGCTCTACCAATGCAACTTGGCAAGATTGTTTCAAAATAAAAAATAAAAAGGCCTAGGAATGTAGCTTTGTGGTAGAGGGCCCCTGGATTTGATCCCCAATACTACATCAAAGAAGTCTTTATGCTTTCCTAATTGCCCCATATCAAGACTTTAAATTACCTTAATAGTTTCATTACTGTCACCACACTTAAAAGAAAATCTCTTCAACATACAACTTAGTACTATACCTCAACTCCAAGATTTTACTTATGATCCTTAAACCCTGGTCTAAAATGATCCCTTGGCCTAATCTATCTAATGGATAGTAATCACTTACTTACATGAGCTATAATTTGCTCAAACATGCAAATAATAAAATTGGTGAATATGAATCCATAAACACTTTGATTCAATATGAAATTCAACATAAGAAGAATTAGAGGTTGGTTCTTAAATGTCAAGAACCCAAACTAAGATAAAAATCCACAGAAAAAACAAAGACCTGTAATGCTTGACAATTTAAAAGTTCAACCAAAGGTCTATTATCAGCACTTACTGAGGAATTTATCTTTACAGATTACTTAATTTTTGAATAGGTAAAGACAAATAGGGCACAACGGGGCAAGGAATGTAGCTCAGTGGCACAGTGTCTTCCTGACAAGCTCGCATCCCTATGTTCCATTCCCAGTACCAAAAAAAAAGGAAAGAAAAAGAACAGGGCATAAGGAATTTTTTTTAGCGGGACTCAAGAGAGAAAACTGTAGAATAAGACTTGACTGCAAAAAAGAAATATTAATTAAAATCAATAGTTACTTCACTAATTTCATTATCTATGCTAAATATAAATTTACATGTTCAAATTGGCTTAAATTATGAAACGTTTCCTACTTCTCAAAACTCCAAAGGAATTGGGAGAGACACTTACTCGTAATTTTTCACAAGCTGGTAAAGACATAGGAGAATTCCTAGCCAAAAAGCACTGTTATCAGACTGGAGATAAAAGCCAATCTTGTCCACAATGGCAGTCCAGCGGGTTGGATAATCATGCTTGATGATGTGATGAATACATGTAGTAAGCTGTACCCTGAAAGTCAAAACTAAATAGTAAGCAGGAAGAAATACAGTATCTGGGCTGGGGCTATAGCTCAGTGATGCAATGCCTGTCAAGCAAGGCCCTGAGTTTGATTCTCCGTACCAAAAAAAGTAAAAAGAAAAAAAAAAAAGCTCCTTTAAAAAGAAATACAGTATCAACTATACAAAATTTTGCTAACACCCATTATAATGGAAAATGGGCTGGTTAGAGAAAACCTATTTTCAAATAATGTGGCTGTAATAAAATTCAGATAAGTGAACACAAGTCATTTAGCAAACCTGTCCCCACTGATCTGAAAGAATCCAGCTGAGTATGGTGCCACATGTTGTAATCCCACTACTCTGGAGAGGCTGAGGCCAGAAAATGGCAAGTTCCAGCCCAGCCCAAGCAATTTTTAGCAAGATTCTGTCTCAAAATGTTAAAAAGTGGCTGGGAATATAGTCTGGCTGAACTTTGGGTTCCATCCCCAATACCACCAAAATAAAAATAACAAATAACAAATAAGTAGAACAATCGCAACAGATACAAGTAGGGTTTTTTAAAATTTTATCATCAAAAACAAAATTCACATAACATAAACTGTTCTTATTTTTAAAATCTTGTAAAATCCTACAAAAATAATAGCTTCCAGGGCTGAGGAGGAAGGTAGCCCGGTGGAGGGTAGACCTTTTCTTGCCTAGCATAGCATGTGTGAGGGCCCTGGGTTTGATCCCTACCACCTCAATAAATACCAATGTAACTACAATATAAAGTATTCAGGGGGGGCTGGGGATTCACCTCAGTAGTTCCACTGCCTGCCTCACAAGTGCAAGGTCCTGAGTTTGATCTCCAGTACAAAAAAACGAAACAAAAGTGTAAGAACGGCATTCCCTAGAGCAGTGGTGGTAAACCTCTGGTACATGTGATACAGCAGGCTGTTTGAAAGCTCTAAAAAGTTTGCCATCACTGCCCTAGAGTCTTCTTTACCTTCTACCTAATCATATGTTTCTCAAATATAAAGTTTTTAATATTTCTGGTTTTATAAACGTTAAGTTCAAATGTAGTAAGAAAATGAAAAGACATTCTTCTGTAACTACGTTTGTTGGATTGGTTTTGTTATAAAAATGACAAGCTTGTATATTCAGGAAAAATAATAAATACACACATGTGAACAAAACATCTGAAAATTACCTATAAGAATGGATAAACTTTCAAAATCTACATACCTGATGAGCTCAGGAGAGTGGATAATAGCTTCTACAATATTTTCTCGAATGCAATGTCGATCTTCCTCTGGTATAGTATAAGGAGATAAATCCCCTGGTGCTGTTTCCCGATCAGGCCAATACTGTGTTATCATATTTTTCAAATAGATAACACCTAAAATATAACCAGTTTGACAAAGGAATGTTTACTGGGAAAGCACTGTGACTGTTCCTGAAGTGATCATATCTTCATATCTCAACTATTTTTTTTTGGTACTGGGATCAAACTCAGGACGTTGCGCTTGGGAGGCAGGCGCAGTGCCACTGAGCTACATCCCTGGCCCTCTGAAGTGCTGTGATTACAGGCATGTGCCACCACACCCAGCCTTATGATTTTTACAGGAAAGCTAAATTAACTTTATCAAAAAGTTTTATAAATAAAACCTAAAGACAAAACCATTTTATACTAACAATTTGTACAATTAATCTCACAAAGGTAATAAAGTGTTCATTATAGAAAAATGATACTATAAAGGTTCTTAAATCTAGTCTAAGTATTTCAATCTCACAACACCTGCTGTGTTCAAAATTTGTAAATTACTCAGTTGGGCATGGTAGTGTGTGCCTGTAATCCCAGCACTCCCGAGGTTGAGACAAGAGGATGGGCCACAAATTTGAGGCCAGGTGGGGCTACATGTGAGTTCAAAACCAGCCTGGACTACACAGTGAGACCCTATCTAAAAAAACAGACAAACAAACAAATAAAAATAATAACTGGGCCAGGGATTTAGTTTAAAGGTGCCGTGCCTGACTGGCAAGCTCATAAGGTCCTAAATTTGATTCCTGGTACCAGAAAATTAATAATAATAATAAATAAAAATTTTAAGATAAAGTATACTTAACAGAAAGGTTAACTGTCTATGAGATTAACATATTCCAGATTAATACTAAATACATAATTTTGTTTTTCTGCAGGGTTTTTTTCAAGGCAAGGACTTGTTATGCAATTCAGGCAAGCTTTGAATTCACAATGTAGGCAGGCTGGCCTTGAACTTGCAACAAACCTGCCTCGCTCAGCCTGCTGAGTGCTGGGATTACAGGTGCGAGCAACCATGCATAAGTTTGATTCCTTATCTCTAAAACAGAATGAAGGTCAAAATTAAGGCCTAAAAGTTTCAATTTTATTTCAATAAAGCTGGAAAAATTTAAATGATATAAAAAAATTAAGGCCTAGTAACAGTCACTCTATGTAGGGATATAGCCTAAGTACAGTGAATCCCTCATAGTGACACACACTTTAGTTTTGAGTTTTTCATTCCAACAAAGCATAAACTGAGAATTATACTGCAAGAGTTCATGATTCAGTCTGTACCCCTAGAATGCTTGAGCTAATGAACCAATCATGCAAACTAGCAAATACTATATTGCCATGTACTCTAAAGTATCATTCTATTATTCCAAGAATATAATTTTGCTTATGTTTTATTGCTTGCTTAATCACTCCATAGCCCCTAGCATAGTGACAGGTAATAATAGCACATGCTCAATAAATAAACAAACAAAAAGACCGAAATAAAAAGACATTGGAAGTCAATATAGTTCAAAATTTCAAAAAATTCTTAAAGACAGTTTATGACCCTTCAGTGGGGTGACATACATTCATGATTCTGGAGCCTCAGGCAACCTAGCCTCTGCCACTCTCAGCTTCCAAAGATATGCAATAATTTGAAAAATCATCATGATATATTTATATTTCAAAATATGACCAATTCCATAGTGTTGCATGTGTGTGCATGTGCTTTTGGGCATTAAACCTAGAGTCTTGTATGCTGTTATGGTTTGGGTCTAGATGCCCCCCAAAGCTTCATACGGTGGCTGAGTTTAAAGTGTGTAATGCTGGGATTAAGGGCATGTGATTACTAAACCAGTATATTTACTGGTTTGGCACCGTCCCACTCCCAATATTCTGAATAAGATAAAAGGGGCAGAAAGATGGTGTTATGTTGCTTTTTTGTTTGGTATGTGGATCAATCTCAGGACCGCGAGCACAGTGCCACTGAGCCAAATCCTAGGCCCTGTTATATTGCTTTTGCTATCTTCTGGACACCATGAAGTGTTTCTCCTCTGGAAGGCCTTTCTGCCACACCATCCCACCTCAGAGCCAGCAAATTATGGACAGAAACCTCTACAAACTGTAAGCCAAATAAACTTCTCCCCCTTTAACGTTGGGTGCCAGGTATTTTGTCTCAGTAACAAGAGAAAAGTAACCACCACACATACTAAGCATGAGATCTACCACTAAGCCCCAGCCCCAGCCTCCATTCCATAATCTGTTTCCAGTTTTGTAGACATTAAAACAATTTCCAAGTACTAAATAATTTAATTTTCTAATCCACATAATTAAGTCCCTGGAATGTGTTAAAAACTCTCCAAAATGCCAAATACTTTCAATTTTTTAGTAAAACTTTGTGATATAAAGACAAAGCTTATATCGAAAAATGGGAAAATATAAACTTCACAAGAAAAATTAAAGTGACTATTTCCTACTGAATTATAAATGAAAAAAAATCTACTGTGCACTTTGCTCCAGTAAAATTACTATATTATATTGGTGTATAAGTGTTCCCCTATTATGCTAATTATAAAAAACTTTAAAAAAAAATCATGAAACAACTTAAATTCATTTGTTTTCTGAATACTTATGTCAGTCAGTATTTTAGGTTTTGGGACCTAAAACAGATTGAGACTAAATTCTATTTCTAGTAATTGAGAAATATTTCATTGCACACTATCATAAATTTTTTATCCATTAAAACATGGATTTGGGGCTGGGGATTTAGCTCAGTGGCACTGCACCTGCCTCACAAACCCAAGGTCCTAAGTTTAATCCCAGTACCCCACCAAATAGGAATTTGAAGACTATGCCAAGAAAAGAAAAACATTTCCTATACAACATAAGTGGAATAAGAAAAAAAAAAGTTCAACAACTAGATAGGTACCAGGAGAAAAACATCAAGAGATTTTTAAAAAAGTATTTATGTATTTGAGAGATGGTCTCACTAGTTAGGTAGTTCAGGGTGGCCTCAAGCTAACAGTGATTCTCCCTCCTCAGCCTATGAGTTCTGGGATTCTATTTTATTGAAGAAGAATTAAGGAATAGTACCTTTTTCAATCTTGAAAACATTAAGAGCAAAAAAAGGCATACATAAAGAATAACCGTAGGGTCAGGGATTTAGCTCAGTGGTGCCAGCACCTGCCTCACAAGCAATAAGGTCCCGAGTTCAATCCCTGATACCAAAAAAATAAAATAAAGCATAACCATAGAGACAAAGGTCTGTGTCTTAGCACTCTTCAGGAAGAAAGCTGAGAATATACAAAACCTCTTTACAAAAAAAACCCGAAAAACAAAAACACATACCAATTTTTGTAGCTTCTAAATCAAATATGAAATTATTCCTCTAAATTCTGCCACAAAATGTTAAGACACTTGCTATTTCTTGTAAACCATGAAGGCACACGGGTTCTGGGAGAAAAATCGCTGAATGTCTATCCCCAGATAGTTCTGCTATTCAATTTACAAACCTCTTAAAACAATACCTTTACATGCACTCAAGAAAGTAATTCAAGAAACTTGCCTGCCTGTCTCACAGGTAAATCCAGTTGTTCTGACATTGTAATCTGGAGCAGTGTTGAAACAAAATTCAGAGACTTGTGTGCCTACAAACAAGCAAAAAATACAGTTTAAATTATTCCTGTAAATTTAATACACTTTGAAAAAACAGAGCCATCAAACTTCAATACTCTTCCATTGGTTTGGTTTGCACAAAAGGTCTTTGTAATGTGGTTCCAGCCTTATTTTCTACCACTGTCCTGTACTGAACTTGAACAAATAAATTTTTTTTGGTACCAGGGATTGAACTCAGAAACTTGCACTTGGCAAGGCAGGCGTGATGCCACTGAGCTAAAAGCCTGACCCTGAACAAATAAATTCATGTTTCCATTTGCCTACACTTCCCATTTCTCCCAACTAGCACTACAATGCTAGTGGTAGCTCCAAAACAATATTCTCTTTTCAACTTATTTCTCCTTTTCAGTAATAACTTGCATATATATTAAATATTAATATAAATTAATATAAATATTATATTAAACAGCTAGATGCTTGTTGAATCAATAAAAATGAATGGATAGGTGTGGTTTCCCAGGTGCTAATGTTTACCTCTTCATATGGTTGTTGTTGTACACAATTGTGTTCTGTTTATGAAAAAGCCTGTATTATGATCACTTCTACACAGAGTATTTCAATAAAGTAAAAAAATCAATAGCTTTAATATAATAAAAGGCTCAACTGTATCATCATAATTTAAAGTGCAAACATGCAATGCAACATATACAGAAGAAACAGAAAAGCAGCACAACACAAATGCTACTAGTAGTTACCACTGGGGTGGTAGGAATTGTCCCCTACACATTTTCTATTTCCAAATTTTTATGAACTTGGGTTATTTTCATGAACAATACAAAAATGTTGTGTAATGATTTCTAAATTCATTTTTATTTCCATGTTATAAAAGAACCAAAAATTTGCTGGATGTGGTGGCACATGACTATAATCCAAGCACTCAAGAAATACCATTTCAAATGCTTCTCAGCCTTTTGGCTAAGATCAAGTGTAGGAATATCATTAAGTTCAAGGCCAGCCTAGACTACACAGTGAATTCAAGGCCAGCTTGAACTACACAGCAGGACCCTGTCTCAAAAACCCAAAAAGAACCAAAAACTTTAAGCTAAATCCTTGCATGTTTTAGCAGTTTCATTACCCACCATCCTCAAAATAATCACCATATAATGTCAATAATTTCTTTCAATTTAACATTTACTACTTTTCTGCACAAGGTCACATGAACATTCTGATTTTTATTTTAGTTCTTTACAAGATATTTTCCCAAAAACATTCTGCAAGCATTTTCTTAAAAGAATGTTCTTTGCCAATAAATTCAATTTAAAAGAAAAAGAATTTTCTCTTTGAATAAAAATAAGTAAAATTTAAATAAATAAGTAAGTAAAATTATTCCACATTAGGATCTAAAGTGATACTTTATTTAGTCAATCCAAAATATCGGGGCTGGAGATTTAGCTCAGTGGTTAGGTGGCCTGCCTTGCAAGCGCAAGGACCCAAGTTCAATAAGTGTTTTTGCTGCAGGACATTAAGCCAAGAGTTTATTCAGAGTACAGGGCTAAATAAACACCAAGCTTCATTGCCTCATGGAAACTTATATACTATAGTAAAGGAATACAAGATAATCAAACAGGTAATTACAATAACATATCCTTAAAGAAACAATAATCAATATGGAAGAATTCAAAAAAATCTCCTAATATACTTAAAAGTAAGGCCTGTGAGGAAAGAATTAGGTGGAAGAAGGGGAGGTATGACCTAACTAGATCTCAACACTGTAATCCACTGTCACTTCCTAAGCCTTTTAGGCCATTCACGCATTACACTTTTTTGATTCCTCTTCTCTGGCTCCTTTGCTTATTTCCCACTCTATTTAATCTATTAATGCTAGAACTCACCAAGACTTCCTTATAGGCCAGTCAGTGGTGGTGAACCTATGGCGTTCGTTATCACTGAAAGCTCTTAAAAGGTTCGCCATCGCTATTACAGGTTGTCTTTTCCACTCTTCAGCTGATCTCATCCAACCCGTCTTTAAATGCTATCTTTATGTTAAATACATCACTTCCATCTAAGTCATTGTAAAAAAAAAAAACATTTTATTACCTCCCAGGTGTCTCAGACCTATTATACTCTGCTATAAGCTTTTATTTTACTCCTTGTACCACACCTCCACTAACAGCTCTCTCATCACTATCCTCACATTTTCCCCTTATTCATCCCAACTTAATACATCAAGTCCAGGCAATTAAAAATGTACCTGCTTTCTTCATTCCCATTCAACACCGACCTACTCCAGGTGGCTACACCACAACCCCAAAGCCTTTTTCTGTAAAATCAAAGCCAGGTCCTTGGTAAAAGCCGGGGATTTGGCTCAGTGGTTCTGCTGTCTGCCTTGAAAGCACAAGGGCCTGAATTCAATCCCCAGTATCAACAAAAAAAAAACCAAAACCAATCCAGGTCCTTGTATATCCTACGCAAATACTCTAGCTCAGTGGAGGAAAACTTAGGGCACGCATGCCACAGTGGACTGCTTGTATCATTGAAAGTTCTAAAAGGTTCGGCATCACTGCTCTAGACGGAGGTACACCCCCACTTTTACACTGTTTTGGTACTGGGGATCAAACTTGGGACCTTGCCCTTGCTAGGCAGGCAGAGGAAATGCTGAGCTTAAGTCCCATGCCTCCATTCCTCATAATTCCCAACTCTAACCATTCTCTACTTAGCAGCCAACAATCTTTTAAAATTGTAAATCAATCCCCTTTAATCAAACTTTTTAACAATTTTCCACATCATGTCCAGGGCTCTGAAGTTATCTTGCCTTTATTTCTTCAGCATCAATTTTCTCACATCCCACTGTCCCACCTTACCAGCCCTCTTATGTTCTTTCAACAATAAGGCAACATAACATGTCTACCTACAACATTACTCTCACATGCTTCATGAATTAACTGGTTCACAATTTCCCATTCTTTGGCTCTCATTCTAAGCATTATTTCCTTACAGAAGCCTTTCCTATATCATCACTCAAGGTTTCTTGTTACTCATTAACTTTTGTTTTTTCCTTCAGAACACTTACTACATACATATCTGTAAACTGATTGCCTGTTTCTCCCATTAATTAGACTTTAAGTTCCACTCAGTAGGGACTATCCTGTTTGTGTATCCAATTCCTCATATGACACTGCAGCTATTCAAACAATGTACTGAATGAACGAAAAGCACCAAGGGCTAGGGATGTACTCAGTGGCATAGCAACTGCCTGGCAAGCACAAGGTTCTGAGTTCAATCACCAGTAAATAAATAAATAAAATAAATAAAAGCACCAACAAATATGAATAAATGTCTTGGAAGCAGGTGTGATTACCTAGGGCAGTGATGATGAACCTTCTAGAGCTTTCAATGATAACAGCCTGTTTGGCAGGGTACGGCACCACTGACCTAAGGGAAGTGCAATGCAAGGAAGGCACAGACAGGTGAGCCCACAAAATACACTACTACCTATACCACCACCACCTGTATTTCACTCAAAATAAGACCTAATGAGAAAGTAAGCCCTAATATTTTTTTTCAGGATATTCATAATATAAGCCCTACCCCAGAAATAAGCCAGATGAATTCAGTCATTACAGACACTGCAATATAGGACAGATGTATTGGATTACAAATTAATATATCATTAAATAAAAATAAACAATATTGACACTAATACTTAAAATAAATGATAATATAAATTACAATTAAGTATTTGTAAATATCCAAGCAGGCATGTTTGGATGTGAGGTAAATGCCTATGTAAAAAGACAAACTTGAGATTTATTTGCTGAATGACCAGACAAAACACAAATAATGTGAACATCTGATAATGAACAGACATAGTTGTGTCTAAAATGAATCTTTGGGCTGGGGATTTAGCTCAGTGGTTCGGTGGCCTGCCTTGCAAGCGCAAGGACCTGAGTTCAATCCCTGGTACCCAAATAAATAAATAAAAATAAAATAAAAATGAATCTTTATCATTCAGTATATAATGTGTTATAACAGACATATTTCACGCACTTGAGTGAAATAAACACTTTTCGGATTTTGGTGCTGGCAGTTTTTTCTCATTTTGTGTAGACCATCATTCTTAACTGTCAGAGGTTTTGTTACTGCTCTGGTCTTTTAAACCTTCAAGTAACATCTGAATTAGCCAGGTGTGGAGGCACCTCTGCAACCACAGCACTTGGGAGGATGAAGCAGGAAGATTACCAGGAGTTCTAGGCTAGCCTGAAACCAAACCAAACCAAAACCAAACCCCAAGCAACAGCAACAACAACAAAAACCCATCTGATTTGATGGAAACTTTGTGAAGCCTAACCTGCAGGTCCTGACTTGGGTGAAGAATCACAAGAACTGTACATACTGTGTAAAGACTAGTAAGTATAGGAGCTGGGATTTAGCTCAGTGATTCTGCCACTTGCTTTGCAAGCACAAGAACCTGAGTTCAATCTCCAGCACCAAGAAAAGTAAATAAATAAGTATTTTTTTGAGACAGGGTCTCACTATGCAGTTGAGACTGACCTGGAACTCACTATGTAGCCCAGGCTGGTCTCGAACTCATAGCAATTTTCCTGCCTCAGCCTCCCGAGTGCTGGGATCACAGGCATGCGCCACCAGGCCTGGCCTAATAAAATATAAAAAAAAAAAAAAGAGAGAGAGAGAGAGACTAGAATGTACGCATTTTCTTTGGGGGGATAATAAAAATGTTCTAAAGATTGTGAAGATGATCACGTAACTGAATATACTAAAAACTATTACATTGTATACTTTAAAAACTGTTAAGTATGAAAATAAGCACTTATTTATTAACATTCATTATATTTACTTTGTAAATAGGGGAGGGTAGAGGGGGTGAAGGGAGGGCAGGGGTATGGGGAAAAAAATGAGAACCAAGACCTGTCATGTAAGGGTACAAGATCCCAATGATAAATGTAACTGTACTATATACTTAAAAAGTACCAATAAACTCAGTAAGATAAAAAAATTCATTATATTCAAATTC